GGGGAAGCTGCGTGTCCTAACGTGAGTCACGGAGTCCGGGCCCCACTCTGCTGGGACAACCTGGGACGGGCCAGACTCTGGGGGCTCGGGAGAACTCTCTGGGATGACAGCAGGGGACGTCCTAGATGTGTGTGACTCCCTGTGCCTAAGGGCTTCGGAAGCTCCTGGGGGCGGGGCCCTGTGCAACCAACAGGGGGCGGAGGCAGAATACCTGTTGACTCTGCGTGGGCATTTCTCAGGCTTGATGTCCAATTCATAGTGGTAGATGTCGATTTTGGGAATGTCCATTTCGAAGAAATTGGCTTGTAATTTGATTGTTCTTCCAGAGGTCCCGAAGTCGGGTCTCGGAGGGGGCTTGAAGGCATATCCTTGGAGGGGGGGTGTTGCTGCCAGAGAAGACACCACCGCTGGAAAAGCAAGGACACGTTGACTGTTACACAGGGACCTCATGGGGGCTGTCCACCCCCCCGTCCCATAGTCCTTCCCCCAGCTGGGTCAGGGCCCCCCACCGCACCAGTGACTCCAGGCTGTCTTGCCCCAACAGTTCTCTGCGTGGTTCCCCCTCCCCCCTCCCACCAGACACTCCCATGTGAGGGCTTCGTTCACAGGGCCAACCCTACCCTGGCACAAGGTTCCTGACAAAAGAGCAGTTCCCAGACCACATCCTCCTCGGCTAGGGCCTCACCATGTCCCTGTGATCTAAGGCCTGTCAGATAGCCGCCCAGTATGCCTGCTTCCGCAGCCCACCCCTAGACCCTCAGCCTTATCTCAGGACCTGTTTCTCTTGCCGGGACCACTGCAGGGGGCCTGCCTGGGCCATGGTTCCAGATGTGCCCCCCCCCACCACCACTTCAGCCCTGCCTGTCTGCCTTTGCTCAAGCACCTCCGTGCCCTACCCCCCAGCACCTGCTTAGACATGCAGGTCCCCACAGGCCTGCAGTCTGCTTGCCTGTGGCCTTCCCTGTTTCTGCCCTGGACATCACAGCTCCCAGCCGGCCATCCCCAAAGCGGCCATCCCCAAAGCGGTCCCTTGCTCCTCTCCCTCTACTGGGTGGGCAGCTCAGAGCATGCTCGCCTCTGCCTCCACCTCCCCACCCGACCTTGAGCTGCATTCCCTTGGGGGGGTTGCATTGATTAAACACTCCCTTGCCTGTCCTGGAGTAGACTTGAGGGTCAGGAAGGTGGTGGGGGTAGAGAGAGGCCCAAGAAACGGGGCTTTCCAGCAGGGTGTTTGCCGGGCCCTAGTGGGGTAGTGGTGAACTACCAGCCAGTCCGCAGGAGAAAAACGGGGCTTTCTACTCCAGTAGAGTTACAATCTCGGAAACCCACGGGGTAGCCCTAACCCTGTCCTGTAGGGTCACAGTCAACAGCAACTCGATGGCAGTGAGTAGCAGGGTGCTTACACAGTCACCACACCCTGCCCCGGCCCCATGTATCGCCCCAATTCCACGCCTGGTCAACACGGTGCCTACCGCCCATGCACCGCCCAGGAGTCACCCTCCTTTGCTTCCACAGAAGGTCAGGTTCCGTGCCACCAGGCAGGTCTCAGCCTGCCACGTGCTCAGCCCTGCTGCACGTGCCCCGTGGGTTTCAGAGCAACCTCTTCCTTCCCATACGAGAGGTTGGACAGATGGACGGTGTGTGACCGGGCAGCAGACCAGCAACAATGACACTTGTGTCTCATTAAAACAGCAGAGCGCAGCAGCTAGCTGCAATGCCCTGTGGGCCTGAGTATGTCAGAGCAGAAGTGTGCTCCAGGTTTCCACAGCTGTGGTCAGTCAGGACTATCTTCTGAGGCATGAGGTGGCGCAAGACCCAGGTTGGGGCGAAGCCCATCACGGCAGCCAACTGAATGGCAACCAGGAGTGTAATCACAGGGTGCCCTCAACTCAAGCAGCTTTGGGTACAAGTTTCCTCCCAACGCAGAAGCCAGCCCTTCCTGAAGTCACGTTCGAAGGTGGCGAAAGGCCACTTGTGATTGCAACTGGGCGATTTTAACTGATACTGGAACACCTGTCTGTGTAGGTTGGTGTGTTTTGTTAATTGGCTAGCTGCACTCCCTGCCGACCTTTTGAGGAGGCGGACGTTGTCTGTCGGCAGTAACCCGGGCTGGGACCACTGTCTTTCTGACTCTCAGATTGGCTGCTTATGCCTGTGCTACGAGGATGCAGCAGGCCCCTAATCCCCCTGTGCTCGCCCACCTGGAACCCGACTGCCTCCCAATGCTTCACAGGTTACGTGTTTACAGGCCTCAGACCATCCCTCCTCGACCCACTGTGGCACGCATGTGTGCCGTGCCAGGTGGTGACTGGTCACAGGGAGCCAGCCTGGGGCACTCCTCTGCATCAGCAATTGCAATGGGAGGCACTATGGATTGAACTTTGATTTGTGCTTCCCCCCCAACCCCCTAATAGATGCTGTAGATCCTGACACAGCCCACGGTTCCAACCTCACTGGGGAATGTATTTGCTTTGGGTTTGCCGGCAGCCTGTCTTGGGGGTTGAAGGGAGTTGGAACTGACGCTGAGGGGACTTTGGCGAGGCAGTACTGGAGCAGGGTGTGTCTGGAGACCCTAAGACGATGAAACCAGGGGGCAAGCTCTGGAGGGACAGATGCCACCTCCTCTGAAGGTGGCCAAGGAAACCAGAGACTGGGCCCTCCCCCAGAGCCCACAAAGAGCAGATGTCCCTTCCCCATGCACTGGCGCCTAGACTTGTCGCCGCCTCCACTATGGCGGAAGGCCTGGACCCGGGTGCAGCTGGCCACCAAGCATCCCAGCCACGTACAGGAGCGTGTGGCACCTGAGACAGGCAGGAAAAGTCGCCTTCGTCAGTTCTCAAGTCACCCAGGGCTGGTGGGAGGTTGGGGGGTGGGGTGGGGCTTCCTTGCTTCGGGCTATTAATGAAAACCCCAGCTCTTACCATGAAGGCCTGTGGAGCAGAGAAGACTATAAGCATGAAGCCCTCCTGGTTTTCCAGGCCCTGGAAAGGGGCTGGTCCGTGAGCCTCGCACTCCCGGGAAGGAAATCCTACTTGCAAAACTGCTGGGCTTCCCGGCCTCTGGGCTTCCAAGGGGCTTCTAGATGCCTTGTCTTCAACCCCAGGGAGTCCAACCCACCAAAGCAGACAGGAAGCTTTAAACAGCACCTGGTCCGCCCGTATGCTGTGACCCGGGTGGGCTAGCTGAAGCTGCTCACAAAGGGAACCTGGTTGTAGGGCCTCCTGCATGGGGAACACGAGGGGCAGGCAGGTGGCTCGGATTACCAGAGGTGGCAGGGAGGAAGAAGAGAGTCCCTGCTTGGGGCCCCTGAGCTGCTGAAAGAAAGCTTGACCACAGACGTTGGGGGTGGTCCCCAACCTGGAGAAGGACCCCGGATCCCCGGACTGCATTTGCAGAGGCGGCTGACATGGCACACATTTCCGTGGCTGTGGCTGTTTGGTTCTGACTCACAGGGACCCTGGGTGCCACAGGACAAAACACAGCCCAGCCCGGGGCCACGCTCAGGGCCCTTCCCATGCTGGGCCCAGCGTTGCAGCCACGGTGCCAATCTGTCTCCCGAGGAGGGGTCGTCTCCTTTTTGCTGACCCTCTACTTCATGCCAAGCCTGGTGTCCTCCAAAGACCACTCCCCGGCAGCTGGCCCGCAGCACCTGAGACGGCGTCTGGCCCAGAGAAGAGTTCGCGTTCTTCGCAACACCGTCCTCCCAAGGCCTCGATGGCCCTCCAGCCTTCCTGACTCGGTGTCTGGCTTTGTATGCATGAGGTGACCAAAAATGCCGGGGCTTAGGCTAGGCTCGGCTCAGTCCTCAGAGTGACAGCGTTGCTGCTGCCCACGCTAAAGCTTTGGCAGTGGGTTTGCCCGGCACAGTATGTCATTTGATTT